AACAACGTGAAATGACCAAGTTCTGCGTAATTTAGAGAACGCGGATGGCGGCGGATAATTTTTCGTATATTTCTTTTGAATTGGATGTTGGCGTTACATATTTAGCTTGAGCAAGTTTTGAGACCAATAGACGTACTGAACAGATCTAGACACCTTTTTTTCAGGCGTTGTCCTCGGGTCGCCGTCGTCATTGCTTAATCTCCCTAATAAGTGGGTTGGACACCAAATTTGTTCGAACAAGTAGTGCCTCCTTGTCCACACCGAAGAGTATAAATGAGGACCGGCGAGTTTATTTCTGGGGAGTTACCATGCCGTGGGCGTTCTATGAGGGCGGGAGTAAAACTATTCCTGGGTCACTTCACGCGTTGGAAATTGGAGAAAAGCGCCGACCTGATCCTGACCACGCACTAGGCTTCCACTTGCCGAGACACGTTATCACATTTTCCTTCTGTCACCATTTGAATGTTCAGCGCCAAGCGGCCGCGCTCTGCTTGGAGTGAGGGGAAGAGGTCGGAAAGGGAGCTCTCTAAACTGTTCCTGCATGTTGGTCACAGAGGTGGAGTCAGCACGCACCACTATGTTTTGGGTTGTTGCAGAACTCTTTCTTTTTCTTTTTCCAGCCTCGCGTAATCCCTTCGCACCCTCTTGAGCTCAAGAGGACTGAAATCACGCGCCACTTGTCTAAGGACGGAGGAATAACATTTCCATACGATTAATGTAGATTGGTGTGAATTCTGAAATGGGCATGAAGAAGTTTGGTCGGACCGAGTGTGGTTTGGATCGAGCCAAGTTAAAGAAGAGGGGCGAATTTTGATTTGAATATAAGCACTTAATCTCAGGAAATCTATGGTGCCGTATAGCTAAATATTTGCTACTTGTAAGCAGACATATCGAGTTACGGAATGCATACGATGCGTCTCTGGCGATAATAGAGTTTTGGAAGTAACATATCAAACACGAAAGACCGTGTTTGACCACATTTCCAAACACCGAGAAGAGAGTTGACACCCGTAGTATTTTTGACGAACTTCTGAGGTGTTTGGAAATGCGGTCAAACACTGTCTTGGTTTGTCTTGAGTGTTTGATATATCTCCTCATTCGAAAAATAAGGAGAAAACGGTGAAACAAATCGTAAAGATTTATGCTTGTTAGGATCAGATGTCCAAACACCGTCACAGTCTTGATTTCCTTTGTTTAAATTTACTGAATTATTAATCAATGAGTTTGAAGACCCTTCCACGCTACGCCGGAAATTTGATAACGGAGGTTTCAGTCTGAAAAAGCATCAAATGTTTTCCGTCCACACTACGCCGGAGGAATTAAAAACGAGCAATCACTGTATGGTCATTTTGGATTTGTGTTTGAGGAAAACTCGGGCAGGAAAATCATAGGATTATCGTCTAATGTCATCGTTTTCGAAAAGCTCCGTTTTCGAAAAAATGTTTTCTGTTTACAGGAAAACGAAAATCCGGCATTTTCAAATTCCCCCGGTTTGAAGAGCGTTTTCGAAAAGATCCGTTTTCGTGACGGATTAGTGTGGACAGTAGGCCTAACCGTAGAAATAAAGCTGCTTTCCTCCGGCGTGGTGTGGACGAGGCCTCAGAAAAACAGACGAAATACCTTGAGAGTTCAAATTAAGTCCCTTCTCTCAACCCCACTTCAAGCCCTGAGCATCAAAACAAATCTAGAATCCTTTTAAAAAAATTGCACACATCCCCAAGAGACCTCCAAAGGGACGTACTGTTAGTAAGGAGCAACGGACCTCACAGAAACACGACGGAACCACAACAAGAAAGTCGCAAAAGGGATAAATCATCTTTATTAGGAACTGAACACTGTTAGACTGACAAATTGCGACATTTGAAGGAATATGAATGTAGTTTTTAAATTCATTTTTATTTCAGCCTAGTCGTGGCATGAAGTTGAGAGCAAGCGCGCACGTAGTCTGCGTGGGAGACGCGACATACCACCTGTTATTTACAGGGACATTTCCGTCTGCAACGCCTTGGTAGTGTGCACGTAATTGATTTAAAATTGCCGCTAGACCGTAAACATCAAACTCTAACTTACTGGCGTTTTGAAAAGTAAAAGAGAGCGAGCTAATATGAGATTGTTTGTTTGCGATTTGCGATCAGCATGAAGCACTGCTCGGCCTAGATAAGCCTTCGTCCAATTTCTTTATCGTTACTATCCGTGACTATGCATATGACTAGGTCGGTGAAAACTCCAAATATTGATTCTACACCTGATCACACACAGCTGCCTAAATCTCTACTTAATAATCCTTATCAAACCATTTAGAACTTGATCGCTTTCTGTTACACCATTTGGAGCTAAAGGCGGGGGAGAGGAAACAAGGCGCCATGAATGGTTTCGTACGAATTCTGAGCATTGTCTTCTTGGTGGCGCGAATAAGAGGCCAGATTTGTGTGGAAGAAACCCTCAATTGTGAAGATCCGGTTCCCACGATTTTCAAACTAGGGGATGCATCATGCCAGTGTAATGACGCAGCACATGCCGGGGCGTTGAAATACGCGAACGGTAAAGTGCATCTTTGTGTCGGCACTGAATGGAAGACCTTTCAGCTTCTAGGGGAATACGGCACGGACAGTGCAAATCCGGGAATTTCTTGTAAAGATATCCTGAACAAAGCGGGAAAACAGCTCAGCAATGGAGTTTTCTGGATTCGTCTCCAGGGTAAATGGATGTGTACTTTCGTCCGTTCTTAGACTTGGCCGTTAATTGTATCTGCAACAAAAGTTTTGACTGTGATTGTGTATCTTCGCGCCTTTCTTCACGTAATTGGCGCGCGATTTTAGTAGGTATCCAATTGCAACTTTTTGTAATTGGATACATGCAATTGGACACCTTCACCATTCGCGTCAGTTACAATACCATTTTTCTCCCTTATTGTTTGTTAAACTTATGTGCTGGAAAATACTACTGACTTTTTTGCTCAAAAGAATGTGTTAAAAACTGCTTAATCTCGAATTTGTTATTGATTCGATTCATTCAGTAACTTATTAGAAACTTTCATGTTTTGTGCACGGTGAAGGTCAGAACAATGGTCTTCACTACGGACGTCAAGGAAGAGAAATAACTCGGTCCAACAGTAGTTTATTCTGCACTTGTTAACGTCGAGGAATTTATCAATGCAATCAAAAAACGTGTACAATGTAGCTTGCGTATATGAGAAACTTAGGCACAAAGTACAAGTTATGTTGCTATGTTGGAATACTGAAAAGATGCTCAACTTATTCCTTTAAAAATTCGTGATTGCCAACGTGGTTTCTTTGTTACACTGAGTGACTGACAACAGGGAGAACCTCTACCCTTGAAAGGAGCGTACGTGGCATAAGTACAAAGTTCAATACAACCGCTAGCGAATATCAAACAAATAAACTATGAAGGGCAGCTTGTACAAAAGTACAAGGTTCAGTCTAAAATGAAAATCCAACAAAGGAAATTACAGAAACGCAGCTAAAGCAAAATTCGAAGAGAACAAAGTTCAGTTGATCGAAATAAAATCTAAGCGAAAACAAAATAAAATTTGGACCACATTGGAAGGTAAATTGCTACTGCTCGGCTGGCCTTTCTCTAATTTTTAAGGAATGAGAGATTAAATAGGATTACTTAATGAGTGACCCAGTGCAGGCACTCAGATAACTTAGTATGTACTTTTAAGAACTATATGCGAGATTATAATAATAAATAACGAAGAACGAACTTTGATTCCCAGTCAATATATTTTCTAATAAGCGTTCGAGTAAAAAGAAACAGAAACGATTAAAACAACAAACCCTCGGAATATGAACTTATAATCGGAACAATAAGAATAGGAGCTTGAAGTCAGATTAATTCCCCTAACACGAGTAATCTACTTGCTGAAGAGCCAACGGCAATGGGAGAAGCAATCAAATTAAAACGAAAAACACCAGACTCGTCAAACTGCGCTAAAACACGATGAATCGAGCTGCTGAGCGACGTTATTCGCTAGCAGCTCATAGCAAAAGTGCAACTCATCAGGTACTTCATGTTATTCATCATCAGGCTGGACCATGATATTCAAAGCTGTCAGCGGTGTTGACAGGAGGGTATGGGACTTGTATAACTCGGCCGAGGCTTCCGCAGAGTTCGTAACGGCAGCCCTTGACATCACCAACCAACATCGTGATCACTACAAGAACCGCGTTGTCATGCATTGGCAGAGTTTTTCTCCATCTCAGGTGAATAGTTTTTATTTAAGCATACTTTATTTTAACTCTGAGCAATAAAAAGTTGGAATTAAGGCCCGGCACTCTCTCACTCACACACGCAAGCACCCACGCTCGCAACGCACGCCCATAGAACAAAAAGTGAAGCAATAATAAACAGCAATCTACATTTGTGCCAATATATGGAGCGGTTTTCAACTGAGTGTCGTTAAACCAAAACCAAACCAATTACTTACAATTAGACTACTCGGCCAATCTAAAACCGTAGTTAAACCAGAACCAAAACCAAAGTGATTGCCTGATTACTTTCCACACTCAATTGAAAACCGCTCTATTATAATAATACAACAGGAAACGCACCAATGGTTTTAAGACATCCCATTGCCTGGAAAAAAGATGAGGAGTTATGTGTAATTTGCTGTAAACCAACTTTTCACTTTGCCAACAGGCGAAAGTGATCGTGTACGAAGGCGGTGTGAATAAAAAAGAATTGCTTTTTAACGCGGCTGGGACAGACAAGTTGAACTGGTTTTCTGAGGGCAAACTGGTCAGTTCATCGTGGACTGATATTAAGACAGAAGAAACCAACTACTTCTCCATTGAGGGGGACAGCCCTCGAAACTTTTTTATAAACAGAAAGTATGGTGGCTGTGACGTCGATGCTGGTTGGCTGGTAGCAGGCGCCGGAATACATTGCTCTTGGGAAACCAGTGCTGCCCACAAGAACAAGGTCTTGTACAGCAAGAAGTCCACCTATACCAACTGGAACTCCAACGGTGAGGCTCGCTTACTCTTTTGATTGATACTGTTTTACCTAGGTTTCGTTCGTGGGGGCACTCCCATTCATCAGATATATGTGTATGTACCGCAGTGAAGGCTATGGTTTTCAGGCAGTTAAGTTTGGGTATATGGCATAGAAACCAGACAGTTTTGGTCTAGAATAGGGTATAATTTATCAGAAAAGTGGCCAGTGTATAAATAGTTTAGTCTGGAACAGCTATGTTGGACTACGATAGTGATAAAGTTTCTGCGTGGAAAATAGCTAGTCTGGAATAGGGCGGGGGTTTTTGGTGCTTAGTCTAGAATAGGGTTGCAAAATTAAGCTGATCATGGTCTAGTATGGGGTAAGGGATTCAGTGTTCCATGTCAGCGGCACAACCCACTCAGAGATTTCATTTCCCCAAGCCTTAGCTTCATTCCACGCGATGAAATGAATGACTCTCGGAGCAGAATAGTTTTCTTACCCCGTGAGATTTTGATTTTCGAATGGCCTGACGACTTTGAGTGCGATAGGAAGTCAACTAGATACGTAACCTTAAGGTAACGGTTAAGTGCCAATGCGAGCCAAGTAGCCCATCAATATCAGGCCGGCGCTTATCTCCGGTTTCTGTAGCATGAAGCGGTAAGAGTATTTCTATTCCCTGGATGGGATGCTAGTCCATCGCAGCGTACCCCCAGCATTAAGTTCGCCGGTACCCATTTATACACCTGGGTGGAGAGAGGCACTGTGAGAGTAAAGTGTCTTGCCCGCGAACACAACACAATGTCCCATGCCGGGCCTTGAACTCGGACCGCTCGATCCGGAGACGAGCGCACTAACCATGAAAAAAAAATTAGAAAAACGCCGGTTATAATAAAACTATC